GAGCTGCGCTATCAGAGGTACAGTGTGTGGCTCCCCCAGGCCCCTGGCTGAGCATCACCCTCAGAGGGTGCGGGGGATGCCGAAGCACACTTGGCCCGAGGAGAAGGGAGCCCAATCAAACTCTCCCAAGCAAAGGGGGCAGAAAGTGGGCTGTGTAGCCTGCATCTGTGGGAGAAAGGAGGCTCCTCACTCTGTGTGGCCCCAAAGGAAAGAAATAGAACATTGGCAAGGTTAGCAGGAAGCAAAGTCCACCTCTGTGGAAAAAAAGTGCTTTCTGACAACCCCAGCTCCCCAGATGGCTGGTAGTGGGATCCCCATCAAGAGGATCACGAGGGTCATCCCAGAATGACACACCTGCGTAGCATGGAAGAAAACTGTAGGGAGACAGAATCGGGCATCGTCTAGGTAAGGTTCAAAGTGCATGGCCAAGAATTACCAAGGTGGAGAACATCAGGCCTGAAATGATCTACAGATGCTTTATTGAGCACCTGTTATGGGGGAGGGCTTGTATTAAGCACTTTGCCTATATTATCTATAACTCCCAGTGATCCTGCAAGCTGTGCAATGGTGTATCTCCTCTCTGGGGAGCTCTTTAAAGGCTTCAGAGGCCCCTATCTCCATTGTCACTGGGCTGCATCCTGCTACCCTCTGATCTCTTCCACCCGTGACACTTATGCTTAGAACATGCACAAAGGGAAGAGAAAGGAGGGGTGTTTTGTTTTCCTTTAGATTTCTGAGAAGCAAATGGGTGAGAGTGTTTGCATATGGAATTATGAAAATCCTCTCAGTCTGCTCTCCAGTGTCAACTCTCACGAGCGACCCAGGCTTCCCAAGCACCTGGACAGTACAGTGGCTTCCTCGTCACAGAGGAAATGATGGTTGTCAGATGCTCCAGTCAAAGAGGAGTCACTGACGTGCGTGAGGGCCACGTGGGGAGTGAGGTGCATGAAGGCTGCGTGTCTGCTGCAGGTGGCTTCCTGTAGGTGTGTCTCCATGTGAATCAATTAATCCCAAGTTGCTGTGTGGGGAGGACAGGGAGAGAGATGGATCGCTTCTGGGAGGCAGGTATTTTGTGCCCCATGTTGTTATTTATGTCTCCACACCCACACTCCCGAGATCTGCACAATTAGACATGGCGACGTTTCAAAGCATTTCCATGGAAGCATCGGGGCACCCAAGCTGTCCTCTTTGAGTCCACATGCCAAGGCTGAGTGAGCTCGTGCAGCTGACCAGGCTTCGGGTGGCTCTGTCAACTCCACCCGCCTGTTGCAACCTCTAAGAAATAGACAATTTGGCATTACGGAGTCCCCTTTGCCAGGAGTCCCCTCCTTGGGACAGTGTGTGTGAGGGGGAGGAATAGGGACAAGGCATGGGGAGGCTCTTCTCTTAGGGACAATGCCTTCTTGGGTCTTTGCCTCAGTGGCACAGAATCAAGTCTGAGCTACCAAATCAGAGCATCAAACGATTCCACCCTAGAGATACTCAATGGAGCTCAAGGGCTGGATGTCCAGCTGCCCTGGGAAAGGTGGGGTGTGGATGCCACAGCTCGGGACGGTGAAGCTTGAGTGGGGAGAGGGGGCCCAGCTGGGCACATCAGAGCCCAAGAGGGTTGAGAAGGAGCCCTGGGGAAGACAGGTCCAGTGCAGAAGAGTAGAGGCCCAGGGCGAGGAGGCCTCTGTGCAGGAGGAGGCCCACGTGAGAAGGCTTCACAGGGAACTGGCAGGAGGTGGCGGCAGCTACGGGAGCTTGGTCATACACAGCAGAGCCTGGTTGGGTAAGTGAGCATGCAAATAATGGAGGCTGGGAAAAAACTAGAGTAAGTCCTGTGGCCCTGGGTGAAAAGCGGAGGTGTCCCAGGAGCTCAGGCTTGACGATAGATATAGACAAATAAGCGCTGTACAGAGGTGCGCACACACTCCCTGGCTTTCCACGGTCAACCAGCCTGGGAACATCAGGACCCTAAAGCCAATGGGCGAACCTAGCCCCAGATCCTCATTTCTAAACGCAGTCCCTGGGATCAAGGGGAAACAGCGGATCTGAAAACAGAAGCCACAACCTGAACAAGCCTGGACGATCTGCTGCCAGAGAGTGAGAAAACCTGCAAAAAGGGAATGAAGTGTGTGGAAAAGACAGAAGCCAGCTTGAAGGGTGCCCAGGGACCCAACTGGGAGCAGCCCGAGTATCCAAGTAAGCAGTGATAACAAGCATAACCCATTAAATTCAACTAGGAGTCCATGGGGAGATGAATTAACACATAATGAAAAAAAAAAGGTAGCTGGATGGGCGGATGCATATTGCACACAAGGTGAATATTTGGCCAAATGTGGGGGCACACGCCTGTACTCCCAGAGGCTTGGGAGGCTGAGGCAGGAGGATCATGAGTTCAAAGTCAGCCTCAGCAACAGTGAGGCGCTTAGCAACTCAGTGAGACCCTGTCTCTAAATAAGATGCAAAATAGGGCTGGGGGTGTGGCTCAGTGGTCAGGTGCCCCTGAGTTCAATCCCCAGTACCAATAAATAAATAAATAGATAGATAGATAGATAAGTAAGTAAATAAATACATATTTAAATAAAAGATGAATATTTGATGAGGAATGACATTGTTCCTAGCTGGGATCTGTGATGTCCCCCAAAGTTCCATGGGTTGAAGGCTTGGTCCCAGCTGCTGGTGCTATTGAGAGGTGGTGAAGAATTTAGGAGGAGGGGCCTGCATGGAAAAAATAGGTCCTATGGGTGTGTCCCTGAAGGGTAGGTCTTGTTCTGGCTCCTTCCTCTCTCTCTGCTTCCTGGCCCTCAGCAGGTTCACAGCTTTGGCCGACCACACTCACCGCCATGACATACCTCACCACTAGGGCCAAAACAATGACCATGGGCTGAAATCTCTGAAACTGTGAAGCAAAATAGATCTTTCCTCCTTTTGAGTTGCTTATGTCAGGTATTTTGTCACAGTGATGTAAAGCTGACTAGCACAGAGATGTTAATATGATTTCAAAGCACCTTCCCCAGGAAATCTTACTAATCTCGAAGGGGAACAGGGCAACTCTGCCACAGAGAAGCCTGGTAGACATGGCATTACCAAGTGGTCAAAGCAGACGCTCTCAGTAACAGGAGAAGCCAAAGTGTCATGTAATGAGAATGCGGCATCTTGTCTGGGATGCGTCTGCCCGAGATGCATCACCTGAACCCCTTCATGGGGACAGGCCACGCTCGATCCTGCCCAGAGTCCTGTAACTTCTGCTGGGTTCTTTTCCTCTGAACTTGGTGCTTTGGTCTGAGTGTGTCCCTGAAAAGTTCATGTGTTGGAACCTTAATTCCTCTGTGTGGCAGTGTTGAGAGGTGGGGCCTAGAGGGAGGTGTCTGGGTCATGGCCCTGGAGCCCCAGTGAATGGATTCATGTGTTTTCGAGGGAGGGGTTAGTTAGTACCAGAGCAGGTTGTTGTGTCCCTTGGCTTTCTCTGGTTTTCTCTCTCATCATGTGACCTTGCTTCTGTACACACCTGCTTTCTCTTCCACTTTCCACAATGAGCTGAAGAACCAAGAAGCCCACACCAGATACAACTGCCCAATCTTGAACTTCCATGCCTCCAGAATTATGAATGAAAGTCAACCTTTTTCCTTTGTAAAATTTCCAGTCTCAGGTCTTGTATTGTAGCAATAGAAAACAGACTAAGGCACTTGGTCAGCCTGGTGCCTTCCTGTTAGTCAAATTTGAGTTTAAATGTGATCCCGTCAGAAAGCATCTAACCTAAAGTAATCACCTGGGCCCTTTCTATCATATCACTCTACTTCAGTGCACAGAGGAGCACTTATCGCCCTCTGGTATTTTTCTTTGTCTTCTGATTTGTTTAGCATCTGTCATTCCACATTCCACTGGAACACAGAATCCATGAGTTCTGTGTTCTGTCCACAGAGCCTGGCTCACAGTGATACACACATGGTTGAGTGAACCGTGCTACTGCCCCTTCAGGAGTCTCCAGCAAGTGGGTTAAACAGCAAACAAGTGGTAGGGCTGAGGCCACATGGAAATAGGTCAGTCCATAACTGTGTGTGGAGGCAAGAGAACCACTGGACCTGGCCTCTCTGGTCAGACACCCCACAGGGGAGCAGGAGGTTTGGTGCCCAGCAGGGAGCCTGGCCCTGGAGCTGGGCTGCCTCAGCACAGAGCGGGAAGGCAGGCTTTTTAGGGACTCAGCAAGACTTCAAGGCCTGGGCTCCCTCCCGCCATGGCCTCCCATTCCAGCCTCTTCCCCAGGCCTACGGACTGGCCCTCAACCTTGCCCTCGCTCAGGAGTGCCCTTCCCTCCCAGCCTCATGCTCTCCACCCCTGGAATTCCACGTGGGCTCTTTCTTGTGCACGTGTCCCTCCCAGGCCTGCTGCTCCCAGTGGATTTGGGTTCACTGACCAGAAACGGCAGCTCGCCCTGCTCAGGGAGGTCCTCTGATCAGGGGCCCCGACAGGTCTAAGATGGGCACCGAGACAGGGGCTGGGGATGTCGCAGTCCATGGGCGAGGAGCGAGAGGAGGAAGGGGAGGGAGGGGATGCACTTTTCTTTATGATCAGACTCCAGCGTGGAGAAGGCCCCGGGAGCAGTATGGTTGCCTGGGCAGTCCACTGGCAACAGGGGTCTGCCAGGATGGCCAGGGGCAGGTGATGGGCAGAGGTAGGCCCGGGGAACGTGAAGACAGGAGGAGGGAGAGGAAGACTGCCATTGTGCAGAGCTCAGCAAGGTGCCTCCAGGTCAGTGAAGCAGAGGCAAGATAATCAGGGATTCAGCCATGGGTGGGGCCTGCTGAGAGCTGACCTCTGGCTGGCATGGTAAGGCGAAAACCTGAGACCCCAGGGTCACCGTCCTGTTCTCGGGGGCCTCGGCGAGGTGCTCCACTACCTCAGGCCAGGAGCTCTGGACTCTCCCCTAGGATGTCAGTCTGTGACCCCCAAACAAGAAAGCGCAAGCCCCCTCCCCGCTCCATCCATGGGAAAGTACTCGGAGGTGGCCTTACTGTTGTCCAGGTGGTTGGCCTTAATGATCTTCTCCGAGTAGTCAGAAATACTGGAGCACTCGATCTAGACAGGGCACAGAACAAAGGAGCAGCATGTCAAGAAGAGTCACAGCATGTCTGCTGCAGCCTGGATCTGGGAAGCCCCCAAAGCCCTGTGTGAAAGGCTGTCCCCAGCCTGTGGCACTATGGGGAGGGGGTGTCACCTTTAGGAGGCGGGGCCTAGTGGGAGGAAGTTAGGTGACTGAGTGCATGGTCTGGAAGGGGATACTGGGACCCCAACCCTTTTTTCTCTTTCTCTCTTTGGTTCTAGGTTTCCATGAGGTGAACAACTTTGCTCTACCATCTACTCCAACCACAATGCTCTGCCTCACCACAGGCCCAAAGCAATGGAGCCAGACAGCCAGAGGCTGAAATATCTGAAAACATAAGTCAATAAACCTTTCCTCCTTAACAGTTGTTTATGTCAGGTATTTTGTCACAGTGACAGAAAACTGACTCATACAACATCCAATACCAGCTTAATGAACAGAGAAGTTTCAGGTCTAGAGAGGTGTGGTGACTTGCCCACAGCTGCACAATAAATAATGGCAGAATAAATTAGGGACAGAATTTGTGCCCTCTCAAGTCCAGTGTCCTTCCACTAAATTGGATTGTCTTCATAAGGGGCTAACACCTGGCTGCAGCCCATGATGAAGGACCTGATCTTTTTTCTGGAGATTTAAGAACTAGTGATCCTCACCTCCTGGCTAGAGGATAATGGGAAGAGGTAACACAGCCACTGACCTCCCAGGGAGGTGTTGGCCAGAGTTGCCACAATCCTTTCTCTACATTCCCCACATTAAACCCTCCCAAGGTGAACCATGCACATTTCTGACCACATGGGAAATGCCAGGTCAGGACTTTAGGGCTGGTCTTAAGATGCTCCCCTACCTCACTACACACATTAGCTTCAACCCTCGCTATAGTTGGGATAGTTACTAAAAGGCTTTTTTGCCTGTCTGTGGAAGGTAGTAGAACCTTTAGGAGGTGGGGCCTAGAGGGAGGAAGTGAGGTCAATGGGGACATGCCCTTGAAGGAGATATTAGGACCCAGGTCTTTGTTCATTTCACTCCTGACCATGAGGTAAGGCCTTTCTCTTGCCATATGATGCGCTGCCTCATCACAAGTCCAAAAGCAATGGAGCCAACTAACAATGGGCTGAAACCTAAAAAACTGTAAAACCAAAACAAACCTTTCCTCTTTTTAAGTTGATTATTGGGAGTATTTTGTGACAGTAATGAAAGCTGACTCATGCAACCCTTCTGCAGACTCCACTCTTGAAAGGATTTATTTCTTTTAATCTGGAAGTCCTTTCTAGGATCCCTAAGCCTCCTAAGTGAAGGGCCAACATATTTGAGAGATGAATGAATCATTAGCTCACAGCAGGACCTAGTGGGAATAGTTGGAGATCAAGCCCCAGCCCTAGGATGTGCTATCAGAGATTTCTGGGAAACAGATGGGCACCTGTCAAGCGCTGCCCCGACCTCCCTAGCTGGCTCTCCCACAGGGCTAGCCTGTGCCAAGGCCCTGGGCTGGACTCACCTCCACACTGAGGCCCCATCTCAGACTGCCCTAGGGCCTCACGAAGGGACCATTCCCTTCAGAAGTCATTGCAGAGGGCCACCAGGGAGTTTCTGACAATCAGTGTCTGCCTTTGGGGCTGGAAATGGGTCTGGCCTCTGTTAGAGGAACAGCTGAGCAGGCAGACCCTGGCCCAAGCTCAGGTCCAGGAGGCCCTCGCGCTCCTGGGCGGCCAGCTCTTGGCCCTCGGGTCTCACGGTCTTCAGAACCAGGCCTCTGTCCTCCTCTCCTCCCCGCTTGCCACCGTCCCACCATCCCCATGAGGTCACTGAGGTGAACGGTGAGAACACAGGCTCCTGGCCAAGGAGCTGGTCTCCCATCAGGCCTCCACCCCCTTCTACCGGGGCCTCTGGGGCCTTGAGACAAGGTGCAGCCCGTCTCAGGTGGTCCTTGAGGACAAGGTGGGCTCAAGTGTGAAACTCCAGCGCCACCAGCTGCCCACGGCTTCCCGGACACGCCAGGCCACTCCGTCCCCGTCCCTGTCATCTTCCTCCGCCTCTTAGTGGCCCTGCCTTCCCATCCTTCTCTCACACTTTCTCCTTCTTTTTCTTCCTCCTTATTTTCTGATCCTGCTGTTCCTCTGGCTCCTCGCGTCTCTCTGGTCCTCTCTGCTCTTCATTTCTCTCCGTGTCTCTTTCTGTGCCTCTGTCTCCACTTCCTGTGGCTCACAGTGGTCTCTCCTCCCTTCTCCCTGCTCCACCCTGGCCACCATCTCCCTCCCTGGGGAGGGGCCGTGGGCGGAGGGGGGAGCCTGGGAGAGAAGAGCCTGGGAGCCATCCATCTGTGGCGGGCTGCCTATGAGAGCCGCTGAGGCTGTGCCAAGTCCCCACAGCTGGGAGCTCTTGACAGCTCCTTGGCTGGAGCCCCCGTGACTCAGGAGCCAGGGACGGCGCTGCCTTTCCCAGCCCTGTCCCGTCCCCTACCTAGGCCTGTGCTGACCACCGGGCCTGGGCCCTGGGAGAGAAAGCAGGCAGGGATCACCAGATGACCCCAAGGGCACCTCGAAGGCACGTGACCTCACGTGACCTCTCTGTGGGTTGAAACCGTGCCCTGCCAGGGGCCACTGTCCTGGTGAGGGGACCTAGAGAAGGAAGCCTGATGGGGAGGGGCCACAGCTGTGATGATGACGGTGACGGTGACGATGACGATGATGATGACAACAGGTGACAATGTGCCTCATGGGCATCACGTAGGCCCCTCCTCTCAGCACAGGCCTCAGCTGAGCTTTCACAGCTGTTCCTGTTCAAGGCTGCACCCCAGGTACCCCGAGGAAAGCCTGGGCTCCCAGAAGACCCTACAGCCGCTGTCCCAGGGGCATGAGAGAGGAAGGAGCACTGTCCTGTTGGAGGCTCAGGGGCCAGCCCCGGGGACCGGGGTGCCCAAGGGGACTTAGGGGCTCTGGTGGACCCAGGAGCCTGGAGCTCCTGAGGACAGGCTCCAGTGGCCCAGCACAGCTAGAAAGACACTCCCGCGCACTATTCCAGGCCCCAGGGCCTGGCCACGGGCCGGCTGGAGTCCACTGGGTGTCGGCCTCTGTTTTCCAGCCCTGGACCCTCAGGGCTGGCAGCTCAGAGCTCTTTCCAGTTCTTTCCAGCTCCGACTCTCCCTGCCCTTCCCTGTCCTGGCTGCGTGGCCACATCCTGGGAGCCAGGGGAGGCTTCCCAGAGCAGCCTCCCTCTCCAGCCGGAGGCCTGCAGCGCCAAAGCAGATTTAAAGGGACCAACTTGCTCCTTAAAGATAGAGGAAGGAGATTGCCTGCCCTCTGCTAGGGCCCCTATCCCCCAGCCATGACAACAAGCCCTGAGCTCTGGCCATCTGCCCGGCACCCTCTGAGCACTTCCACATTTGAGGCACACCACAGCCTATGGGCAAGGTTCTGTGACCTCCCCATTCTACAGACGCAAAATGCCCAGGGTCACACACGTGATGGGTGGAAGTGCAGAGGGTCAGACCAGAGCTCACGTCTAACCAGCGAGGGCAGAACTCAGTTCTGTAAGTTAAGGATGACCTCAGGAAGGCCCGAAAATCAGGAGAGCCAAAGCCCTTCATAAATGTCACCAGTTGCCAGGGCAAGAGGTTGGGGCCATGCCTGGTGACAGGGAGCCTGCCCACCCCGAGAGCCACGCTTGGTTTTCTCTACTCCTCCAGAGCAAGCGTGCCCCTCCAGGAGGGGCCGGGGGAGACGCACGGGCAGGGCCAGCTCCGGGAAGCCGAAGCAGTGGGGAGGGCAGGGCACGCTCACCCCAAACACCTTCCTGGCCCCGGCCTTGGCGGCGAACATGGAGAGGATCCCAGTCCCACTGCCCACGTCCAGCACCACCTTGTCCTTGAACACGTGCTTGTTGTGGTACATGGAGTTCCGGTAAGTGAGCGTCCGCACCTCGTCCTTCAGCATCTCCTGTGGTGGAAGGGAAGGGAAGGCAAGGTCAAGGCAATCAAGGTACCAGGGGGACAGCAGGGCCATGCACCCCTGGACCACCCCAGAAAATGCTTCCAGAATCTCAATATCACGGGGCACAGCCACAGAAAACTAGGGTGGGGCAGCTGGGCCAGAGACTCCCTGCATTGTTCCAAACTACCCAGAAAAATAACTTGGTGCCATCAGAAGAGAAGCTCAGGTCCCAGCTTTAGAAAGTTCTATTTTACCAAAGAACACAGGGAGCAATTATTCCAACTCAATGTGAGAGATTTAAGTTAGATCTGAAGCAGAATTTTCTGCTATGATGAAAGAATTGTCATTGAACAGGGTTTTTTTTCCCTTGATATTTTTAAAATTGTACATGGACAGAATATCTTTATTTTGTTTATTTATTTCTATGTGATGCCGAGGATCAAACCCAGTGCCTCACATATGCGAGGCAAGTGCTCTGCCACTGAGCCACAGCCCCAACTCCTGAACAGGTTATTAAAGACAGTTTTTTTATGTGTATGTACTTTCATTTTATTGGCTTGTTTGTTTTTGAGAATGGAAGACATGCTTCTCTCTCCAGAAGTAGGTGCTTGGTAAAAACTGGAACCTGATAAACTGTGAAAACTGTCTGTTGCCCAGTGAGAACATGATGGATCTGTGTATGTGGTGAGGCAGGGACCCCTGGCCATTCAAATTACGGGCAGATGCTTTCAGCTAACTCATCACCAACAGTGTTGGGTTATCTTTTTTTCCCTACAGAAATTAATGTTATTGAAGTATAATTTGGATACAATAAAAAGCTCAGGTTTTAAGAGTGGCCATGCATCACTTCATGCTTTCTGAGGAGTGCGTCGCCAGGTGACTTCCTCGCTGTGTGAACATCATACAAACTTGGATGTCACCAGGCTGCGATCTCATGGGCCACAGCCCTCCGTGGGGTCCCAGGTGCCCGCAACACCCTAGTGTGGCACATGACTGAAGTGGCCAGTGTGAGGATTTTGACAGTACGCATCGGCACCACGGCCATAGGCAAGATCCGCAATATTTCCTTTACCCTGGAAGGTGCCTTGCTCCCTGGTGACACCCGTTCCCGCCCCCAGTCCACATGACCAATATTCTGATTTCCGTCCCCAAGCTTCCTCCTGCCTGTTCCAGACCTTCATGCAGATCGAACCGGCTAGCATGCGCCTTTTTGTGTCTGGCTTCTTTGCTCTACATAAAGCTTCGAGATTCATTCGTTCGCGTGGCTCCGCATATCCAGGTTTGTTTTCTGTTGTAGTTTTTGTTGTTGACTAGCACGTCATGGCACGAGCATACCACCAATGGTTTTGTCTGCTCCCTTGTTCATGCGCGTCTGGATTGTTCCCAGTATTGTTTGTTTGTTAATTATAAATAAAGCTGCCATAAACATCCTTGTGTAAGGATCTTGGAGGATGCACATTCCTATTTCCTTTGGGTAAATACCTAGAACTGAATTTTCTGCATCTTAAGGTGGGTACATGTTTAATTTCATAAGAAATTGCCAAATCTTTTCCCAAAAGAGTTGTACCGTTTTATGCCACCATCAGCAACGTCTGAGAGTCCAAGTCGTTTCTCATCTCAGCAATATAATTTAGTTGTAGCCATTTTTAATTCTAGCCCCTGAACGGGTGTCTCACTGTAGTTTCAGCTGCGATTCCTCCACAGCTGTTGATGTAGGTCATGTGCTCGGTGGCTATTTGTTTTAGTCAGCTTTCTTCACTACTGTGAAGAAAGACCCAACCAAAACAACTGTAGAGAAGGAAAAGTTTACTTGGAGGCTTACAGAGGTCGCTCAATCCGTAGACAGTAGGCTCCATTCCTCAGGGCTCCAGGTGAGTCAGGAACAGCATGGTGAAGAGTGTGGCAGAGGGAAACAGCTCACATGATGATCAGAGAGCAGAGAGACTCCACTCTCCAGATACAAATATACACCCCATAGCCACACCCCAATTCCCACCACCTCCAGCCACCACTCAGCTAATCCCATTGAGGACTAATACACGGATTAGCTTAGGTTATAACCCAGTCATTTCTCCTCCAAACTTTTTTGCATTGTCTCACCCTTTGGGGGGACACCACATCGAAGCCACAACACTTCATATTTACCTTTGTGTGTGTGTGTGTGTGTGACATGTCTGTTCAAGCCCTTTGACATTTTTTCCCCTTGTGCTGTTTGTTTGTCTTGTTTTTACTGAATTATAGGAGTGGACATACTCTAGAAATAAGTTATTTTTTAAATTTATCCTTTTTACCTATACTTGACAGTAGAGTGTATTTTGACGTATTATTACATACATGGAGTATAATTTCCCATTCTTGTGGTTGAACATGATGTGGAGTTTCACTGGTCGTGTAGTCATATATGAACAGAGGAAAGTTAAGTCTGATTCATTCTACTGTCTTTCCTATACTCATCTCCCCTCCCTTCCCTGCATTCTCCTTTGTCTAATCCAATAAACTTCTGTTCTTCCTTCCCCACTCTTTATTGTGTGTTAGCGTCCACATATCAGACAGAACGTTCAGCCTTTGATTTTTAGGGATTGGCTTATTTCACTTAGCATGATAGTCTCTAGTTCCAACCATTTACTGGCAAATGCCATAATTTCATTCTTTATGGTTGAGTAATATTCCATTGTGTATATATGCCATATTTTGTTTATCCATTCATCTGTTGAAGGGCACCTAGGTTGGTTCCATAGCTTAGCTATTGTGAATTGAGCTGCTATAAATATTGATATGGCTATATCACTATAGTATGATGATTTTAAATCCTTTGGGTCTATGCTGAGGAGTTGGGTAACTAGGTCAAATAGGGGGTCCATTCCAAGTTTTCTGGGGAGTGTCCACACTGTTTTCAAGAGTGTTGCACCAATTTGCAGTCCCACCAGCCATGTATGAGCGTGCCTTTTTCTCCACATCCTACCCAACACTTATTGTTGCTTGTATTCTTGATAATTGCCATTCTGACTGGAGTGAGATGGAATCTCAGTGTGGTTTCAATTTGCATTTCTCCCATTGCAGGAGAGGTTGAACTTTTTTTCATATATTAATAGAAACAAGTTCTTTTTGCCAGCTATATAAAATATTTTGAATATCTTCTCCCAATCTGTGGTTGGCCTTTCTCTTCTCAACAATATCTGTTGAGCCAGTCTTAAATGTTGATAAAGGCTGATTTCTCAGTGCTTTTTCTTTCTTTCATTATCAGTGCTTTTTCTTTCCTATTGAATTTATCCCAAGGTCACAAAGATAGTCTATGATTTCTTCCAGAAGTTTTGTGGTTACATTCAGGTCTTTGATTCATGTCAGGTTTACTTCTGTTAGTGGGTAAGGTGGGGTGTGAGTCCATGTTTTGTCTTATAAATAAATGTTCCAAGTGCCACCGACTGCATAGGCTGTCATCCCCCCACGCCTTGAATGACCTTGCCACCTCTGTCAAGATCATCTGCCTTTACACAGCTGGCTTTCAGATATTTAATCTACTCCACTGATACACCAATTCCACACCAACTTGACAAGCTGATATTAATTTTGAAATAAAGTAGTGGAAGTCTTCCAATTTAGCTCTTGAATTTTCAAGATCATTTTGTTTTTTCTAGGTCCTTTGCATTTCTGTATGAATTTTAGAATCTGCTTATTAATTCATACAGAGCAATCTCCTGGGGTTGATTGAGTTACAGTGACTCTGTAGGTAAATCTGGGGAGAATTGTTATCTTAGCACAACTGAGTTTTACAAGCCAAGAGCATGACACAGTTCTCCATTCATTTAGGTCTTCTTTAATTTCTCTCTAAAATGATTTATAGATTTCAGTGCAGAGATCTTGCATTTATTTCCTCCATTCATGACTATTTGAAAGTCATGCCTAAGGCCTCTCAAAAGTACCCGATTCCAGGGGCTAGTGTATATGTGACCTTGTATCTCGCAGCCTCACCCACACCATGTGGTAGGATTTTTATTTGTTTTCTAGATTTCTTTATTTTTTTATGTAGAAATTTTTTGTTGCTTATAAATAAAACTAATTTTCCTCCTATCTGTTTGCCCTTTGTTTTTTGTTCTTTCCTCTTGCCTCATTATTGCACTCACAAGAAAACACTGACCAGAATTGCCAAGGATAGACATCCTTCCTTCATTCCAATATGTAACATGTCACCAGCATGTAAAATTTTAGCTGTAGGCTTTCCGTGATTTGTTTTTAATCAGACTGAAGATGTTCCCATCTCTCTTTAACTGGTTGAAAGCTTTGATCATGAATCGGTGTTTAATTCTGTCATATGCCTTTTCTACATTTTTTGAGATAGTGCATGACTTTCCTCCTTTGTTCTGTTAACGTGTAACTCCACAGACTGGTTTTGAATGTCATGCTGCATCAGCCTTTTTAAATATTACTAGGTTTTCTTTACCAACATTTTGCCACAAATATTTGTATCTATGTTTATGAGAGATGTTGATCTGAAATTTCTTTCTACCCTCCCTGCTAAGCTCTGCTGGGTGCACCTCGTATGTTAGAAAGGATCCTCTTATCAACCTTTTTCACAAACGTTTGTGTAAGATGCATATTCTTTTTTCCTTTAACTATTTTATATTACTCACTAGTAAAACCATAGGGGTCAGGAGTCTAAGGCAGGAGGATTGCAAGTTTAAGGCCAGCCTTAGCAACTTAGTAAGGCCCTAAGCAATTCAGTGAGACTCTGTCTCCAAATAAAAAGTAAATAAAAAGGGCTGGGGACGTGGCTTAGTGGTTAAACATCTCTGGGCTCAATCCCTGGTAATAAATAAATAAATGGCCTGGGTTTTTTGGGGGGGAAGTTTTCAATTATGAACTTCGTTTGTTTCATTAGTGAAAGGTTATTTTAGCTTTCTATATACTTTGTATCAGTTTTGACAATGTTATTTTTCCAATGAACTTATCCATTTCATTCAAAGTATCAAATATATGGTTAGAACAATAATTCTCTTATTTCCTGCTGA